AGAGCTATCTGCATATAGCTAATATCAACACCATAGAATTTGCTAATAAAGAATCTAGAGAAAGAGAAAGGGATAAAAGTTATAACCTGGGGAAAATTCTTACACTCAGAAAAGAGTGAAGTAAACAAGAGGCAAAAGAAAAGTCAGATAAATAAGAATCAAAAGATATAAGAGGACGAGAGTAAGAAAAATATACTGTAGAGAAGGTCAAGGAGTTTCACAGAAATGGTAAACCGCCTGAAATGCGAATAACAAGTTCAAAATGAGTAAGAATTTAGAAAAGACCACTGGAATTTGTTAATGAAGGAATCCTTACCAGTGATCTTAGGGAGTAATTTCAGTAGGAAAAAATAACACTATATCTTATTGTACTTACTACAATAGGCTCTGTATTAAAGCTATTTGAATATGAACAATATGAATTAGGTAGTACTTGGAATTCACCTCTTCATCCTCCATGGTTCCCTTGGACAAACAGAAGGTGCTCAATAAACATTTATTGACTTAAATTGGGCCAAATTAAATTAAATTGTATTGGATTATACTGCATTACATTATATTACTCTACCATAACAAGTGATAATGAAGAGTGACAAAGAAAGGCAACACATACAGAGGATTATGTTTATAATATGGGGGTCAACGATAATAAGAGAAAAATAATAGGAAAGGAAGAGTTAAGATAAGCTTTGTTCATTTAAAGCTATTAGAGATTTGCACCTGCTTCTAGGTTCAGGAAAAGACTGGTTCTTTGGGAGAATTTGAAGGCAAGAGAGGGGAACAATGAGGGTACAGACACCCTAGAGAAAGTGATCTCAGTGAGGGTGTTACACATATAAAAACTGATCAAGGTGTACAATTAAGGCTTTTGAATTTGCATACTTTATGTAAGTTATACCCCAATAAAAATAAATTAAAAACAATAATAAATATATCAAGAAGGATTGATTTGAGGGCACAAGTGGAGGCTGTTAAATTTTCTCTGAATTAAGCAGCAAACAATTGCTGACCAAATCCTGTAACTGTACTTCTTCAATCTTAAAGGATGTTATTTTAAAACTAAATAAAAGTGTTATGTCATGTATATGAATCTTTATTCTACAATGGAATAAATAGATTATGGCTTGCACTTTTTATTCTGCAAATAGTGTCAGTCTCCCATCTGGATAAACTTGGTGACTACTACTACATATGTAGCAAATGTAGATCTCAGCTGCCCACCCACGATTCCTCTCCCAAGTCAAGAAACTGTTCAGTACTGTATTATGTCTATAGTTATATATTAGGTGCTGATTAAACACTTTTAGAATAATGAACATATATAGGTCAAAGTAAGATATAAACCACTGTTTACTAAATCATAGTAAATCATAACATTATACCATATTATAGCTCTTGGCGCTATGTTCAAGGACTTAAAAAATACTGAATTGAATTAATCAATAGCTTAACTCATGAAAATATTAGATTCATAAGAACAAAACTACAAAAAGATATTAGAGAAGAGAAATAGTAAAATAACTGAAAAAAGGTACTCATAAGAAGATCCTAAAGGAGGTGGGACAATTCACTCTGGAGAAGAGATGGAGAAAGTATCAAATAACTACATAAAAGCATCTAATATTATAATTCTTTTTTTCTTTTTTTTGAGACAGAGTCTTGCTTTGTCGCCCAGACTGGAATGCAGTAGTGTGATCTTGGCTCACTGCAACATCTGCCTCCCAGGTTCAAGTGATTCTCCTGCCTCAGCTTCCCAAGTACCTGGGATTACAGATGCCCACCACCACGCCCAGCTAATTTTTGTATTTTTTAGTACAGGCAGGGTTTCACCATGTTGGCCAGGATGGCCTCGATCTCCTGACCTCGTGATCCGCCTGCCTCGGCCTCCTGCTGGGATTACAGGCATGAGCCACCGCGCCTGGCCTAAAATTAGATTTAAGAAACAAAAGATACCACAACGGAAGAAGATGTAAAAACACTAGAAAAACTGATAATGAAAAGAATAGTCTCTTCTTGTTGCCAGAGAGATTCTTTTTTTTCTTCAAATTTTCCACACTACAAAGATGTACAGAGATTCTTGTTTTTCATGCATGACATAGGTACTTTCTTGCTCAAAAGCAAGAGGCTAGAAGTGATAGCTTTCTGCACAATTAATCTATGAAAACTATAGGGATGTGACCTCCTCTCTTCCTTACTTGAATTTTCCCAACCATGAGTCCGCAATGGCTGCTCCCAGGATGGGAGTAAAATAACAGAGGCTGCTGAAGGCATGGTATATAGATGTGGAGGTATCTTCATTCCAATGCAGGAAATACAGAAAATACAGGGTCAGCACAGCTGTGGTGGAAAAAAAAAGTGGGGTGGGGAGACAAAACAAGATAGATGCATTAAAGTGACTTATGAAAAAAATATTTTATCTCTAGTCTTTATAAGATGATTTTGGACTTCCACACTCCCATCAGTGACATGACTGAGAAGTGACTGCCAGTCAGTACAAGCAGGGCCCCATGGGAGTTGTGGGAGTGAATGGAACTATACTGAATGTACAAATATAATACTCCTCCCTTCAGTTTATGTGCACCCCTAGCTTCATTTAGGCCAATCATCAACATAACATGGGTGCTTCCAATATCCCTTCCCTCTCCTCTCCTTCCCAGCAATAAGATGATGAGAGATCTTATCTGAATTCCATTCTTCATACCTGTTCCTCAGGTATGAGCTCTTAGCCAAGAGCTGTTAGCTCATACCTGAGGAAGAGATATGAAAAATGTAAGTCAGGTAATGAGAGCTTTCCCAAGTTCTTGCTATGTTGCCCAGGCTGGAGTGCAGCGGCCATTCACTGACACAATTATAGATGCCTGATAGTCTGGAACTCCTGGGCCCAAGCAATCCTCCTGCTTCAGTGTAAGTAGTGGGGGCTTCAGGCATGTGCCATCATGTCCAGCTCTACCCACTTACATTCTCAAAGTCTGTGTTCTGGTTTCTTTCACACCTTTCTGATCTTGGCCTCTATGAGTTATTAGGTGAAATCCTAAGATATATTTATTGGAAGTCTTGGCCAAAGTAAAGGACGAATTTGGACCAAGTCAGAAAGAGTGGATTAGGGAAATAAGTGCATATAAAGAGACCAGGCTGTTACAAATATGAGGTGAGGGTGAGTAGAGAAGAGTAGGTAGGATTCTGGGATACAAAATTACCTTTCATTCCATAATAGGAAAAGCGCTCGCAGAATTCATTCACCACAATGAAGGCAATGCTCAGTGGATAGTTGGAGCCACAGATTTTCTATTAAACAAGAAGGCAATGATTCAAGCATGAACTGTTTTCCCCTGTTTCAACAATTAGATTGTGGCACAACTGAAAAATTCATTTATTTCAAATCACCATGGTAGGTAATGGAGCAATGGTCTCTACTCTTCATGAAACAGCTATTACCACACTAAAAGTGCTTACATTGCTGATTTAGAAATAACAGAAGCTAATCTGAATATTATTTTGTTTCTCATTTATTTTACATGGATTTGCTCAAACATTCTTTGATCCTAGACATCAGGACCTGCTCATCTTCCCACAACTACTAAATGAAAAGCCTAGGGCTCTGGGCAGAAGAAGGATCATATTAACTTTCTAGGAACAGGATAAAGAGATAGCCTATGGAATAGCTGATATCCAAGCAGTGAGATTCAGATGTCAGTCTCTGCTTAGCTCCACCATGAGGACTGACCCTTCTTTTCCCCAACTGTTCTGTTCACCAGGGAGGAATCCTGGCAATATGATAGCTTCTCCTTCAGAGGCTGCTGGAGCCAGGCACATAGCCCAACATGGAGGACAGAGATTCCTAAGGGTAAGCTAGTTGATCACCTTGACTTTGGGCAGAGTTTTTAAATTCTGTAAAATTAAATGTCTAGTCTTCCTACTAAAGAGATTCTATAACATTTTCATGATAATCCTACCGGATATTAAAAGAATTATGCTTTTTTCATGCGACATATCAGTCAGAATATAAAGAATGTTATGTTTTATTTCAATTCCCTATCTATTACAGTAGACCAACTAGCATGAGAGGGGACGTAGGGATTTCTGTCCTTGGTACCATCAAATTTATCATGAAAATTATATTGCCTCATTTTGTGAGCAGTATATACATCTTTGTAAGTAGCCCTAAATTCTTCTGGACCAGAAGAGAGATCACTAGCAAAAAAAAAAAAAAAAAAAAAAAAATAGGCAAAATATAATAAATTAATAAAAATCATAAATTAATGTACTATTCTTTTACCCCTAGGGATATATATATAAAAATGATCCTCCTAAACATTAATATATTTTAATGTATCATAATAACTTGCTTGAAACATTCAATGAACTGGGCTTCTTATCTTTGTAGCTCACAGCTTGAGAATTACGAAATCTGGAGTTTAGCTGACACACTGTCACCAGCTAGACAATATTGTCATTGGCTGTGTTAACATACTAATACTGGTCATGTCACTATGCCTGTCTCTATGCTTCTGTTCTGTTATTCCAAAGAAATGAGAATAACATCACCTTTTGGCCCACAGTAAGAACTCAGTAAATTTTGGCTATCATTACTATATCCTTCCCACTTACAGAATTTTAGTGTAAGAATTGACTGAGATGATGAGTTTAGAAGTGCTTTAGCAAATATATAATACAAAACATTACCATTACTTTTCTGTTTCTCTTTCCTTTCTCCCACAGTAGACTGGGAACACATAGTAATAGAGATTGGATCTATTCTGAAACTTCCATTGGTGTTCAGCAGAAGGCTCTGCACACAGGGAGAACTAAGGGCAGAGTTTTTTTATTGGTAAAGAAAGAACAATCACACACAGTTCTCCAGACAAGAATGCTTGCCAGTTTCCCTGGACATTGAAACTGCTTCCCCCCCACCCCCAGGGAAACAGAATATGCAATAAAATTCAGCAAGTCCCTGGATCCCAACTGAACTTTGACTACCTCTCCTGCTGCTTTGTCTTGTTACGTAAAGGAAGCTTCTGTTTAGATGTGGTTTCAGGTGAATTCTAACTCCAAGAGAGAATCATTTTAATACCCTAATACAGCTCAGCTTGAAGCTCCGGAGGCCAAGGAAGAGAGCCAAAAGAGGGAGGCCATTCGTGTCAGAGGCAGAATTGAATCTAAGGACTCACCGTGGATGGCTTCTTTGGAGGGCTGGGAGGTCGACGTGGTACCTCTTCAATGGAGACAGGTGAAAAAAGAGTTTCCTTGGACTCATTTTTCTGGAAGGTATTCATGACTGGCTCCTTACTCTCTCTCTCTCCTCAAGCATTTGGCTTCAGTAGGCAGTTAGGACAGCTGCCAGCCTACTTTGAAAAGGGGGACTGGGAGGGAGAGCTGGTGGCTTCAGCAAGTGAGTTTAACTCTGTGGGTGTCAGCTTCAGTAGCTGATCCAGAGCAAATCAGGAAGCTATAGTTCAAAAGAATGTGTAAAAGGTACAGCATAGCAAAGTGAAAACATGCCAAAGATAGAATGAAACAATGTTAGAGAACTGATTAGAAAATCTACACTTAAGTAAGGTTATCTTTGCAAAGGAGTTCAAGATAGTTAAGAACACCAACACTTCAAGCACAGATTGAATTTAGCCAGGCGTGGTGGCTCATGCCTGTAATCCCAGCACTTTAGGAAGCTGAGGTGGGCAGATCACGAGGTCAGGAGATCGAGATCATTCTAGATAACACGGTGAAACTCTATCTCTACTAAAAATACAAAAAATTAGCTGGGCATGGTGGCATGCACCTATAGTCCCAACTACTTGGGAGGTCGAGGTAGAAGAATTGCTTGAACCTGGGAGGCAGAGGTTGCAGTGAGCCAAGATCTTGCCACTGCACTCCAGCCTGGGTGACAGAGTGAGTCTGTCTCAAAATAAAAAAAAAAAAAAGAAAAGAAAAGCTGATTTCAGGCTAAGAATAACTGTAATTTATTGACCATCTACTATTGAAAGGTTAATATATATGAATTACATATTTGTTGTATGTATATATAACATAAGTATATTCTAATTAATATAACTATCCCCATTTTAAAGAAACTAATGTTCCCAGAGCTAAAAATTTTGTTTAAAGTTACCTGTCCAGTAAGTGGCAGATCTGGAATTTTCACTATGCCATGACAGCTGGGAAAGGTGGAATGAGTATTAGTAATGACTTGGGCCATTATTCAGTTACAAAAATTACATGAATGGAATGTAGGAATACAGAGGATTTAAATGCATTGGAGAAGGAAGGTCATCAGAAACTGAATTTGGGAGATAAGAAAGACGGTGACTTTAGACTGGGTGTGACGGTTTATGCCTGTAATTCCAGCACTTTGGGAGGGTGAGGGGGACAGATCACAAGGTCAGGAGTTCAAGATCAGCCTAGCCAACATAGTGAAACCCCATCTCTACTAAAAATACAAAACATAGCCATGTGTGGTGGCACATGCCTGTAGTCCCAGCTACTCAGGAGGCTGAGACAGGAGAGTTGCTTGAACCCAGGAGGCAGAGGTTGCAGTGAGCCAAGACCCCACCATTGCACTCCAGCCTGAGTGACAGCAAGACTCCATCTCAAAAAAAAAGAAAAAAGAAAAAAGAAAAGAAAAGAAAGATGGTGATTTTTGTTTTGTTTTCAACATCTTAAAAGTTCAGCTAGAAATAGCCTATAAGCAATTAAAAAGGTGGGGCTAAAGAAAATGAGAGAAAAGAATTGATTATATGCATTTAGGGACCATTTTTCTTCTTTGCAAAAGTTATTCCTTTTATTTTCGTTTTCTCACTTCGAGATTAATCAATCTATTCTTTCACTTAAAAAGTAAAATTTAATCTGAGCAAAAATTGTGAACCAGTTGCTTTCTAGGTACTGTTGTGAACACTATTTTTCTTAATTTTCAGTGAATAAATTCCCTAATGACTCTAGAATATATGTTTAGTCCTTATCAGAAGAGGAACAAGAACAAACATGATGATGCTATGTGCATTTTATGCTGTGTTACTTTTATGAAGTGAAAGAAGTAAAAGAGTAACAAAAGAGCATGGTACCCCTCTCGTTGTTTGTCAAAATAAAAGAAAAAAGAAAGGCTAGAGAGCTATAAAAGAAATAAGAAAAATGAAGACTAAATTAACGAGGTCAGGCAAGATCAGAATGAATTGTTTTATTTGAAAATACAAGAGAGAAAACCTATAGCTCTATCCCTCACAAAATTTTTACATTAACTATTTGAATAATTTACTGACAAATAGGATCAGGATAAACTCTCTTTTCCTCTTTAAACTTTAACTCAGACTTTGACCATATCTTCTCAGCTTCTATTACACTCCTCATTTCTACTGTCTCCCACCAACCTTTACCCAAAGAAGAGTCCAGCTTCATTTCTGACTGTGGCATTAATGATTAAGCATAGTTATTCTTTCAGGAATCTAACCTGGTTTGGTTAGTGACTTTGGATGCAAAAATAAGTGGTCAGAAGTCACTAGTCAAGTTAACTAGCAGAGGCACAGATGCCTTGAAGATCCACTTATGTCCGTGGCTTTCCTTGATCCGGCAGAGTAGATGGAATAGCACCTGTATGCAATGTACCAATTTATTTGTGCTCATAGGTATCCCAAATACCAAACTTTGGAGCATTGGCAGTGGTTTTCTGACACGCCTTTGTTTAGATAAAATTCTTCTTTTAATTATGGTAATATAATGATAGTATTCACAGAATCAAATATCAGAGGTGGAAGGAATCTTAATCTTGTCTTACGTAAACGAAACTTCTCTGAGGATAAGCATCATTTTCCCTTGGAAATTATGATTCAGTAGATACCATAGGGATCTAAAAACCTTTGTTTTCAAAGCACTTCTAGCAATTCTTATGCTAGGAATTTGGGAAACACTAGAATTTGGGAAATGCTAGAATTTGGTTTTAAATTCTCTCCTATTCTAGCCTGAGCAAAGACTGGAACCAAATGCTCCCAAGGCATTTATATAATATTAAGATGGCTCTTATATCCTATTATTTTGCTAACACCAAATAGAAGAAAAAGACAAAAGATGAAAGAGAAATGAGCACTAACTATTCAGAGACAACAATAAAAGCTAAAGAATCTAAATATCAGTGATGAGTAAAGAATATTTGTGTCCTTAGTGATTACAACATCAGATAACATTTTGACATATGACAAAGTTTTACAGTTATATATACATAACAGTAAACTGGCACTCTAAGTTAATAGAATCTAATATAGTCAGAGAGAAACCAGGAAAATATGAAATTAAAAGGGAACATATATTTAACAAGGTCTCTAAATATAAAATATACAAAAATAAATTGTATCAAACATCAGTCACAAAGATTTAGAAAAGGGAAATTTAAAGAATAAAGTTATATATTTATTTATATAAATAGATTCAGGAATAAATCTCACAAAAGATCTTCTAGACTTCAATACTAAAAAGTAAATAATTTTACTGAAAGAAATTGAAGATCTAAATAAATGGAAACATACCATGCTCATTATTTGGAAAGCTCATGTTATAAAGGTGTCAATATTTCTCAAACCATCTACAGTTTTAAAACAAAATCCCAGCAGGTTTTGTGAGTATAGAAAATGACAAGTTGGCTTTTAAAAGTCAACATGGAAGTGCAAAGAGCCAAGGATAGTGTTGTACCTGACCGAGTTAAGGAATACGCCACACTCTGAGATTGAATAATAAGTTCCTTTATTATGCCAGTGACCGAGCGGTGGCTAACGCCCAAAATTCTCTCGGCCTCCTCAGAAAAAGTTAGGTGGTCTTTTATACCCTAATTTTAAAGGTAGGAGGAACCTAGCTGAAGCGAATTTTTCACAGAAGCAGAGTAAGCAAAAAGTTAAAAGATAAACTAGCACATGAGAAATAAAACAGTTCCAGGTTGGTGGGGTAAAGCTGTCATGAAAGACATACAGTTTATAGATAATGGGGGCTCTGGGGCTCGACAGCACCCGCATTCCCAGGCTCTGCTCGTACCACTTAACTCAGCCTCTTATCAACAAATGCATTCCTGGAGGTGCCCCATATCAGCCTGCCCCAGCTACATACTACAGTTACATACTTAATGGTATTTTAATAACTAAAATGAAGAAGCTAAGATGGAGTCTGTCCAGCTCAAGAAGCTAACATAAAGCCTGTACAACGGCTTTCAGTCTGAGAAAGAGAGTTAGTTTTAGCTGGCAAAAAAAACCAGGTTATCACAATAACAAAGTCAATCTTAAAGAATAATAATGGTGGAGGATTGTACTACCCAATCTAAGACCTCAATAACAAAGTGCAATACTATTTTAAAGCTATAGCTTTAAAAAAAGACAATTTACAGAGGGGGAGAAAATATTTGTATTACATACATCTGTCAAATAATTTGTGTCCAGACTATATGAGTAACTGCAGAAATCAATAACAAAAAGATGAATAAGTAAATGGAAAAATATTCAAAAGATTTGAACCTGGAAGCAGTGGCTCACGCCTGTAATTCTAACATTCTGGGAGGCAGAGATGGGCAGATCACCTGAGGTCAGGAGTTCGAGACCAGCCTGGCCAACATGGTGAAACCCTGTCTCTACTAAAAATACAAAAAATTAGCTGTGTATCATGGTGGGTGCCTGTAATCCCAGGTACTTGAGAGACTGAGGCAAGAGAGTTGCTTGAACCTGGGAAGCGGAGGTTGCAGTAAGCTGAGATTGCACCATTACACTCCAGCCTGGGTGAAAAAGCAAGACTCTCTCTCAAAAGAAAAAAAAAATTTTGGACGGATATTTCATAAAAAGAATACCCAAGTAGTCAATAAATTTGTGAACAGGTTATCAACTGTATGGAGGTAAAATAGAGTTCATTTAGTTAGTCTTATATTGATGCATACTCAGGTTTAGTCTTGTGAAAGGAAAATATCTCGGGCCTCTTCAAGCTGGGAATCGCTCAGGACAAATCTGCCTCCTTTGGAAAGACTTACCAGAAACTCAAAAGAATGCAAACATGTGTCTCTCACCTTCCTATGACCTGGAAACCCTCAGTTGGGGGGCCTTGCTTTGAGTTGTCTCCACTTTTCTGGACAGAACTAATATACTTCTTACATATGTTGACTTAGTCTCATATCTCCCTAAAATGTATAAAACCAAGCTATGCCCCAACCACCTTGGGCACATGTAATCAGAACTTCCTGAGGCTGTGTCACAGGCTCATCCTCAGCCTTGGTAAAATAAGCTTTCTAAATTAACTGAGACTGTTGAGCCTGTAATCCCAGCACTTTGGAAGGCTGAAGCAGGCAGATCACTTGAGGTCACTGAGACCAGTTTGACCGACATAGTGAAACCTCGTCTCTACTAAAATTACAAAAAGTTTAGTCAGGCGTGGTGGCAGATGCCTGTAATCCCAGCTATTCAGGAGGCTGAGGCAGGACAAGCATTTGAACCTGGGAGGCAGAGATTGGGGTGAGCCAAGATCCTGCCATTGCACTCCAGCCTGGGCAACAAGAGCAAAACTTAGTCTCCAAAAAAATTAATTAATTAATTGATACTTGTCTCAAATTTTCAGAGTTCACAGTCTTTTTCTATTGTAAGTAATACTGCAATAATAACATTGCACAGAAGTTAAATATATCTGTAGGGTAAATTTCCAGAAGTGAGACTGCTGAGCCAAAATATATGCTTTTATAATTTTTGGAACTGCCTATTCATCTTCTTTGCCCATTTTTCCTTTATTTTTATTTTTTTTAATCTTTTTTATTTTATTTTATTTTTGTTGTTTTTGCCCATTTTTCTAGAGTTGTTTGTCCCCTTCTTGTAAATTTATAAGATCAATTTAAACATTATTGATATTAATGTTCTGCCATCCTCAAAAATTGCAATATTTTTTCCATTTGATTTTATGTATGGACTTTTAAAATTAAATGTAACGAAGTAAAATGAACAAATCTTAAGTGTACAGCTCTGTTAAATTTTATATGTATGTAACTTACACAAACACTACCCAGATAAGGCTAAAAAAAAATTCTAGCATCTCAATGCCAAAAGTCCTTTAGAGGTAATACCACTGCCTCCCTTCTGCGTCCCAATCAAACCCTCCTCCCTCAAGGTCACTGTTGTACAAAATGGTACTCTGAGTGGCCAAAGACTGGAAAGATATTGTATCCAAACACTTTGGGCCAATAAGACTTTGTTCTTTGCTAATAGATCTGTAAGTGTAAGGGAATACATTCAAAGAACATGTTATTTTCAAGTCTTCCCAAGTTTTATTTTTCACCAGGCCCTTTTGGGTATACTATACACATGCCTCAGGGTTGGTCAGGAGTGTGTGAATAGCTTGGGCCATCTCTGGTTTCTGCTGCACATGTACCCAGTCTCAGCCTGAAACATGATTCCCCCAACTAGCATTGCAGCTTCAGGGTAGTAGGGCCAATAAGCTCTTGGCCTTCCCTCCCTAGTCAGCATCCCAGAAGTCATTTTTACTTAAAATGTTCTGGGCATGAGTGTCAACAACACCTTCAAATTGAGTGAGTTTCCTTCAGGAGACAGAGAAGGTGCCAATCCTGAAAATATTAGATAGTTATCAATCTTTTTATAATATATTTTTTCTATTCTTGAGTTCTTTTGATTCATCTCTTGATAAATTAGAAATTACTAAAACAATTATTATAGAAATGATAATTGAATGATGGAATTCCTGAATTATCATATGTCTAAGAATACCTTTTTACTAAGTTATGGATGACATCTGATGAATATATAATTCATAGATCACATTAATATGCTTGCACAGATGCAGCTTTATTACTTTTAGAGTTTAGTGTTATAGAATAATTCAGAGTCCTTTGATTTTTGTTCTTTTGTAGGCAACTTACTTTTTCTGCTTGCATGATTACATTACCATCAGTTTCAGGACAGATCAAATTAAAAGCACATATGTTTAGAATCATGTCAGGATCATCAGTTGTTTCTGGCAGAGAACCTTTTATCTGAGAACTTATCTAATTGACTAGCTCTCTACATTTTGGTATCTGAAAACACATCAAATAAGAAGATACAAAAACACGGGAGATACGATTTCATTCCTCTCTCTGAGGTACTTATATATGCCCTTGAGTGGTATAAAGAATGATATACTAGGTATTCAATCTATTAAAAAGGGTCTTTAAGAATGTTTTGCTTATGAGGGAAATAATAAGGAGGGGGAATGATATACTGAATATGTACTGTTTAGCTTGCTGTAATTTTGAAACATAATGCATGTTATATAGCCAGCTTTATCAGCTCATATCATCATGTACTCATTTCTGGTAGTGTTAACATCAAAAAGAAAAGTCAGCACAACAACTGTCAGTAAAAACCATTATGATTACTATATTAAATGATAAGCATGTTTCACTAGCCACTTTGAATTATGAGCTTGCTTTAGTTAAGTAATAAATAACACAGTTGTCTTAGCTAAGAATTGATAAATAAAATAGAAATAAAACTAAAGACAGTTTAACTAAAATTAGGCTAGAAAGAGAAAAGGAAAAAACAAGATTAAAATAAAAATTTATAAATTAAAAAAAACCCCAAATTCCAAAGATAAGAAAGTGAAGTTGAATTTAAAAATTTTTCATAATTGACAAAACTTGGGAGCAACCAAGATGTCCTTCAGTAGTTGGGTTGATAAATAAACTGTAGTATATCCAGACAATAGAATAGTATTCAACCTTTAAAAATATGAGCTATCAAACCATGAAAGACATAATTAAATATACATGAAACCTAAATGCATATTATTAAGTGAAAGAAACTAACCTGGAAAGGCTATATTCTCTGTAATTCCAACTACATGAGATTCTGGAAAATAAACTATGGAGACAATAAGATTAGTAATTGCTGGGGGGAAGAGGAAAGGGAAGGATAAATAGGCAGAGCACAGGATTTTTAGGGTAGTGACACTATTCTAAATGTTACTAAAATATAGATACACATTATTATACATTTGTCAAAAATCCATAGAATGTACATCAAGACTGAATCCTAATGTAAACTATGGGCTTTGTGTAATAATGATTTACCAATGTAGGTTCATCTATTTTAACAAACATGCCACTCTGGTGTGGGATATTGATAACAGGGAGAGAAGAAATAGGACCTTCTCAACTTTGCTATGAACTTAAAACTGCTGTAAAATATATTTTTATATGTATAAAATTGTATTTTATACCAGTTTATATCTATAATTACCTTATATTTTATAGATATAAAAATGAAAAATATATAAAAATATATGATATATAAAAATATGTATATAAAGTTGTATATACAATATATAAATATAGATATATAAGGTTTTATATATATAAAGAAATATTCTAACAATGGGACCTCAAAAAAAAAAAAAGAACCTACTGGTCAGTGGCTTTCTTTTTTTTTTTTTTTTTTTTTGAGACGGAGTTTCGCTCTTGTTACCCAGGCTGGAGTGCAATGGCGCGACCTCGGCTCACCGCAACCTCCGCCTCCTGGGTTCAGGCAATTCTCCTGCCTCAGCCTGCTGGGTAGCTGGGATTATAGGCACGCGCCACCATGCCCAGCTCATCTTTTGTATTTTTAGTAGAGACGGGGTTTCACCATGTTGACCAGGTTGGTCTCGATTTCTCGACCTTGTGATCCACCCTGCCTCGGCCTCCCAAAGTGCTGGGATTACAGGCTTGAGCCACCGCGCCCGGCTGGTCAGTGGCTTTCTATCATTCCTACAGCTATCATTCTGCCAATTAAAAGATATTTTATTATACGTATAAATATTATTTATCCCTTAACACTTAGTTGCTTATTTCTCTCAAAAGCAAAATAAATTGATGAAAAATATTGCAAGAGATAACAGAACAGTTGTTACATTAAAATAATGATTTAACTTAATCTTTCTCCTAAATTGTAGCTTAATTTTATCAAAAATTAAAGTATTTTGAGCCATAATTTAAGGAATATCAGATAGAAAAGGCTCAGACAGGAGGCTGAGATGAAAGCTTTACGACCCTGTCCCCTGTCTCTACTAAAAAAAAATAAAAAATTTTAAAAAAAGGAAATTAGCTGGGCATGGTGGGGTGCCTAGCCATAGCCACTTTGGAGGCAGGAGGATCACTTGAGACCAAGGAGCTTGAGGCTGCAGTGAGCTATGATCACACCACTGTACTTCAGTTTGAGCAACAGAGTAAGACCCTATCTCAAAAAAAAAAAAAAAAAAAAAAAGAGGGGGGCTTGGAGATACAAAATTATAAAATTAAAACCATAAAACCATGGACATTTATTAGAAATCAATAGTTTTGCTATTTGACAACCGGAGACAGCAATTTGGTAAAACAGAACACTAAACTTAGACTCTAAAACACCTGATCTGCCACTTAACTAATATTTTGTGGAACAAGTTACCTAACCTGCAAGAGGTTAAAAATATAACATCAGATCAAGCTCAGTGGCTCAAACCTATAATCCTAGCACTTTGGTAAGCCAAGCCAGGAAGACTGCTTGACCTCAGGACCTTGAGACCAGCCTGGGCAACATGTCAAGATCCCATCTCTACTTCCCTCCCCCCAAATAATTACCTCAGCATGGTGGTGCATGTCTACAGTCTCACCTATGGGAAGTTAAGGTAGGAGCCCCCAGCTGCACTCCAGTCTGGGTGACAAAGCAAGACAATGTCTAATAAACAAATAAATAAATAACATCAACTGAAATTTCTGAATCAAATTTAATTTCTTTTCTCATCAAAAGTTAAGACATATTTCCCGGGCCGGGTGTGGTGGCTCAGACCTGTAATCCAAGCACTTTGGAGGCCAAGGTGGGTGGATCACCTGAGGTTGGGAGTTTAAGACCAGCCTGACCAATATGGTGAAACCCCGTCTTTAAAAAAAAAAAAGAAAGAAAAGAAAAAGAAAAAAAAGACATATTTCCCTCGGTCTTAGGAATTTTTATTCTTAATACAAAATAAATTATACCTGCTGTGTAAATTTTTATTTATAGCTAAATATTTCTTCAGTCATCACTGTCACTTCCTGATTCACTCAGCTGCAAATCATTTCCTAAAAAAAAAAAACAAAACTGTAGTAATTAAATATTTAATATTTATGTTTGCATAACATAAATTTTACACAAAATATAGCCCCCAAGCGTGATTCTGTTTAGCTAGCACTTTACTTATTCTGTAATTCAGTGACACAATTAGTTACTCAAATAATTGATACTGTGTGTAAAGAAAAAAATATACCATCAAACTTCAGCAATTTTAGTATTTCCTGGCCATCTATTTTAGTCTTTTTTACATACCCCCATCACTCTTTTTTTACATCACTGATTTACTTAAATCAGGAAATGAGAAAAATGTTGTTTAGAAGATCAGACTATATCATTTTGAAGAGTGAAAAAAATGTTTTTTTTTTTACTTAAAATAGAGTCAAAATAATTAAATAATACATGTCAAGAATAACTCATTGGCTGGCTGTGGTGGCTCATGCCTGTTATCCCAACTCTTTGGGAGGTCAAGGCAGGAGGATCACCTGAGGTCAGGAGTTCAAGATTAGCCTGGCCAACATGGTGAAACCCCGCCTCTATTAAAAAAAAAAGAGAGAGAGAAAAGAATAACTCACCATTTATTTCTTTTGTAATTCATCTGTGTACTTACAGTCATGGAGCTTACAGTTCAGTAGGGGAGACAGACAGTAAATAAACATATATAACATAATGCCAAGTAGAGGTAAGTGCTATGAAAAAATGAAAATGGATATGGAGATAGTGATGGCAGGTGCTATATTAGACAGGGTAGTTTTGAAGGCCTTTTTGAGGGGTAACTTTTGAAGAGAGATCCAAATATAGGAAGAAAGTAATAAAAAATGGAGGGAGTGGAGGTGAAGTGACCATGCTAAAAGAACAGAAGTGCAAATGCCCCAAGGGAAGAACATACTTGTTGCATTCTCTGACTTGCAAGAAGGCCATGTAGCTGGAATGGCATTAATAGGGAAGATAACTGGTAGTAAATGAGGTCAGAAAAATATCCAGAAGGTCACAGTAAAAACTTTAGATTTGTTTGAAAATGTAATGAGAATTCATGAGAAAATTTTAAGCAGGGAACTAACTTAAAACTGGTTGTAGATCAGTAAATTCCACCAGGGTATGGAAGTAACACAGAAACAAGAGAGCAGTTGTAAGTCTAATCCAGTCTCTCATGTAAGAAATAAGGTTTTGCTTTCGACTCAAGTAGTCCAGGGGAGGTGATGCTAAGTGGTCAAATTCATAATATACTTTGAAGATAGAGTTTGTAGGACTGATTAAAACATTGAATTTAGGGTACCAGAGAAAGAAGTGAAGAATGGCCCCAAGGTTTCTGTTTTGAACAACTGGATAATCATTCACTGAGTTATCATCTACTGAGATGAGCAACACCAGAGGACCATGGTTGTAGAAGAAAATCACAAGTTAAATTTTCATGTGGTAAATTTGAGATACCTAGTAAACACTCAAATACATATGTACTGGCAGTTGAATATACAAGTCTGGAGCTAAAGGTAGAGACTGGAGCTGGAAATAAAGATTTGAGAGTCACTGATCGTACAGGTTTATCTGAAGCTAAGGGACTGAATGAAAACACTTAGGTAGTAAATTATAATGGTTAAAAAATTCTTGTATTTTTAAACTAATCCACAATAAAAAAAAGCTGACATGTTTCAGGAACATAATTAACTACAAATTTATCTAATAAAGTCAATAACTATTCAGTGTTTCTATCTTCCTAACATGAGCTGGATCTTAACATATTTAAATTACTGATTGAATACACTCAGCAACTATTGTTTAGAGTTTTAGCTTTAATCTTTAAACAAATTTCCAAATGCACAAACATCCAAAACATACTTATCTTTATAGTCAAAGGGTAATCAAATTTCCTGACATTTCATCTGTTTCTTTGCTCACTACTGTTTCTCATATTCCACACTTTCCCTCTGTTTTCACTTTTCTTTCTGCTGAAATATATAAATATTTTATACATATATATATATGTCTATGAATACATTTGCTAAATTCTATAGACATTAAGCTGTTTTCATGTGCCTGAAAATTGTTTTACTCTTGAAAGACACTTTGTTTGGGTATAAAATTCTAGCTAGAATTATTTTCCTTCAATACTTTAAAGATATTTCCCCCACTATCTTCGGGCTTAACTATCTAGCTAAGAGTATCTGCTGTCAGCCTATTCTTCTTTTGTAGTTTGTCTTCTTCTGTGTAGTTTTTAAGGTTATTTCTTCCTTGATGTTCTGTAGTTTTCCTATCATGCTTTGAGGACGAGATTTCTTTTCATTTATCCTGCTTATTAGATGAAGTAAAAATTCATGGTTTTCTTCATTTCTGGAAATTTCTCAGAATTAAGTCTTTATACTATCTCCCCCATTCTTTCTTGGACTTCCTATTGTGTAATGTTTAGTCCTCTCAGTCTTTTTTATCTCTAAGTTGGTCTCCCATTTTATTTTTCTGTCTCTCTTATATTGTGTTCTGGGACAGTTCTTCAACATTATCTTCCATTTCACAAATTTAGTCTTCAACTGTGTCCAGTCTACAGTTTTTCTTATTTATCGGCTTTTAAAAATTTTCAATGACCAGTCTAATTTATTCTTTTTATAATCTATTAGATTTTGTTTCATTTCTTCCTGGCTTTGTTTTATAATTCTTTTTAAAGCTGTGTCTTCATTTATCTCTTCGAGTATTTTCAGCATACTTATTTAATTGTCTTTGTCTTAACTGCTCTGTAAAAAGAGTTTCATTTGGAAAGAATCCCTGCTCTAACTGTTAATTCTGTTGGCTGACTTTCTTAGCATTAGACTTTTTTCTTGTTTTGGAATTATGTTTGCTCATTTTGAGTGGAAAATTTCTGGTTTTCTCTATCCTCACATCACTCTGACAGGGTTTTGTAGTTCCTTCCACCTAGTCCTCTAAGCTCCATTACCAGAAACAGGACTTCATGATTATATTTGGAGACTGTTATTCCCTGCAGAAGGGACCCTGCTAGATCCCTTCCAGGAGTCAACGGATAGCAAAGATCTACAGACCCTAAGCCCACAACTTCTAAAATGCAGTAGCCTCAGTCAACCTGTAAGTGGCCATTTCTTTCAATCTCCTTTTATTATTTGGCTATTTCTTCCAATCTCGTTTTATTATTTAGCCCCACCTCTATCAATGCTCTCTAGACCCTCTCCCCACTACCTCCCAAAGACATACATTCTCTAGCTTCAAATAGAAAGTAAACTCAGGTTCATTGAATCACAACTTTTAAACTATTACAAATTCTAATTATATTATTATACCTTTCCCTGAAAGTTCTAATTATTTCCCTAAAAGTTTCCCTAAAAGTTCTAATTATATTATTATACCTTTCCCTGAAAGTTCTGATTATTTCCCTAAAAGTTTCCCTAAAAGTTATGATTATATTATCATACCTTTGCCAGAAAGTTCCAAGATCCTTACCACTATCACCTTCTTCTGAACTCAGATCCAGTGGCTTCAGCTCCACTACACCCACTATTTTGTGTTTATAGTCCAGTTCTTCTCTATGGAGATGTTTAGCTTACATTTGATTCTGGCCATGTCTGAGTTTTGTTTTTTAATACTTTACCAATTGTTCCCATTTCTTTGGCACAGAAGGGATTTTAAAAATATAAATTCACTGTGCCATGTTTTACTAGAAAACTATTCTAGATTTAAAAAGAAATTATAAAATATAAAATATCTTGAACGCCTCCAAAGTTCTACAAGGCAGTGTGACCTCGACTTTCAATGAGGAAACTGAAGCTACAAGAAAGTTAAGTGTACTTTTACTAGTTACATAAATAATAAGTAATAAGGAAGTCAGGAATATAATACAGATATGCTGACTCCCAGACATGTGCTCAATTTACTATAGAACTTAGTAATTTCTGGAAAATTTTTCCTAGCTTTTACTCAGATTCTCATATAGTACAACCAAGTTGAGTTTTCTCCATGTTCCCTAGGCCATTCAAAAAATCAGATGTTCCAATATTACCTCCCAAGTCAAGAATAACACTAAATTCAAAGTATCTTTGCCGGTCCCTAATTAACCCATAGTTTTATCAATTCTCTGCCTCTCAGTCTTGGCTTCTTCCTTCTTTAGTTCTATTATTAGGCTAGAGCTAGTCAGTCTTTCCTAGCTGCTTACTTTTTTTCATTATTAATGAACATAATAAGATTAATTTTAAATATACAGAAAATTTCATTCTCCCCAGGTAATACCAAACTGCATGCCTTTATTAAAAAGTATTGACTGAGCATCTACTATGTGTCAAGCACCACATGCTAAGTATTAGAATTCAGTGATAAGCAAAAAGAAACAAGGTCCCTGTTCTCATGGAACATTATACTATAGAGAAAGAGAGCAAATCACACAATTTAATGTAAATTTACAATTGTCACAATTGATATAAAGTAGATATATCTGATATTCTAAAGATCTATAAAAAAGAGGACAGGACTTTGTCGGAAAGGTGAAGAAGACTTCCTTGAGAAAGTAACTTTGAACTATAATCTAAGGAGAAAAAATTAGCTACATGAAAAGAACAAAGTATTTCTGGCTGAATAGACAGGATATATAAGTATATCCTGATGTGAGTCAAAGTATTTGAGTATAGTGGCAAAAAGAAAGCACATGTTGCTAGAAAAGAAAAATCAAGACCATTATGTTAAGGTGTTTTACCTCTATATTAAAAGAAATTACAAGCTATTGAAAAGGTTAAAGCAGAAGAGATGACAAATTGTATTTGAATTGTGAAGAAAATCAATATGGCTACAATGTACACAATAAATCAAAAATGGGCTTGACTAGATAAAGGGTGAACCAGTTAGGTCACTGCAGTAGATAAGGCAAGAAATAATAGGTTGAACTACTGTGATAGTGGCGGAGATGGAGAGAAGCAGATGACTTTGAGAAATATATGGAGGCAAAACCATTAGAACTTGACAAAGGAGTGGCTACACTGTAAAGAGGAAGAAACTCACCCATTGAAAACAATTAAGACTTCTGATTTGCAGAATTAAATGTATGCTACCTTCACTAAGACGTAACAGAGTCAGCCAAAGATTGATTATGAGTTGGTTTTGGACAAAGTAAATTTGAAGGAGATGAGATGATGTTAAACATGTCTAAAGCCCAGAGGTTTGAATCAGAGATATAAATTTGCACGTTATCTACACGTAAGTATTGACTGTAATAAAAACATGAAGAAGATTATCTAAGGAAAAAGTGTAGAACAAAGAGAAAAAAAGAACTCAAAGCCTTGTGAAATTCCAACTTTAATGACTGAGCAGAAGATTATAAACTTGCAAAGGAATGAGAGAAAAGATTATCTAGAGAGATGGGAGAAAAACCAAGAAGGCATCATGTCACAGAGTCAAAAGAAAGCCATAATTCAACAAAAAGGGAATTGTTAATAGTATCAAATGCATAAAATAGGAACCTTTTTCTTTATCCAAATTTTAGGTCACAATCAATATGGCTCCACTATAAATTCTTACTTTTCCAATTGTCTGTGTTTATATATACTTACTTAAAGTATTCATCAGAAGGCCACTGTTGTCTTGAAATCTATTATGACTGGCATCTATATCAGGAATCCTGTAATGTGTCATGGTAGGATGTGCTGAGACACAATTCCCTCTATCAGAAGTAGAGGATTTGCATTCTTCATCTTCTGAGTCACTAGAACTATCCTCACTACTTGAAGATGGTGAACTTTTGGAATCTGATGAACTATCACAACTACTCATCTGGTCCATTAGACTAGCTTCTGCCTTCAGTTCTGAAAATAAGGCAGAAATGAACAGATAAGTTAAATAAAGAATGCTAAATAAATATAATAAAAATGGAATGTATTAGTTTTTAAGAAACTGTTGATGAATAACTAAAATCGAACCTACAGTTATAGTACTTAAAGCATTTTATTAAAAAAACAAAACTCTTCTACCATCAAGCCATACTTCAATGATTGGATTACAGAAACTAAAAGAGATAAGCAAGATCTAAAACTAAACTCCACATTTATTTAAACCATTGTACTTAAATATATAGGTAACTCAAATACAAAGTAAATACTGGGAAAAACTATAAAAATTAAAATCTATTTTGGGGCCGGGCGCGGTGGCTCACGCCTATAATCCCAGCACTTTGGGAGGCCAAGGCGGGTGGATCACGAGGTCAAGTGATTGAGACCATCCTGGACAACATGGTGAGACCCCATCTCTACTAAAAATACAAAAAATCAGCTGGGCATGGTGGTGCGTGCCTGTAATCCCAGCTACTCAAGAGGCTGAGGCAGGGGAATTGCCTGAACTCAGGAGGCGGAGGTTGCGGTGAGCCGAGATCATGCCATTGCACTCCAGCCTGGGTAACAAGAGCGAAACTCCATCTCAAAAAAAAAAAAAAAGAAAAAAAAATCTATTTTGGTAGAAGCTATTTTTTATTTCTTTAAATACATGTAATGTAACGTGATAATGTAACAGATGAACTTCATTCTTTTTTCTTGGTTTTCCTAGAGAATATTTTGATGAAGCATCTATAAGTTTCTCCCCTACTCCCTTAATGAGGATTTAAAATATTCTGAGTAGATTTGAAAAGCCAGTTCTCATCATAACTTTGGCTATAAATATTTCTATAGATAAAAGAATAATAATGATGTATTCTTTTGCTTGGTGTTTTTCAAGTTATTTTTAAGACATACAAAAAATTATAGTTGGGAAGGTATTCAGCTACCATTTAGAACTTCATAATTTTATAAATGAGGGAATGAAGGTCCAGAAAGCCAAAAGTTGTCACTTATATGTGGGTGGAACCAAGTCTACTGACTTTCAAGTAATATTTTCCTATATAATACAAATGTCAAATAGCTGAACAAAATTTTTAAACCAAAAATTCTAGGTGAATAATACACTCAGTTAATACACTGCCATTTGATATTATATTAGTATGCCATTTGATATCATCTTAGTATACTGCTACATTAAGTTAACTGATAATTTTTAGCCCTATTCTCCCTATTATAGACACACTGGCTTTCTTTCTATTATTTGACCACATTAAATTCATTTCCATCCTATGTTCTTTGTACTAGCTATTTCCTCTGCCTGGTATATTCTTCACCCAGATCTTTGGTTTACTTGTTCAATACATAATTTCCACAAAGTAAAATGTATAGCTAAATTTCAGCATATATAAAACTTGTAACATCTATCACTGAGATCAAGATACAGACTATTTCCATCCCCATAAATATTCTCCTATGCTCTTTTCTAGTCACTACTCACCATTTTGACTTTTATTACCAAAGATTTTTATCTATTCTTGAATTTCACATAAATAGATTCGTTCAGCATGTACTTTTTGGTCTGCCTTCTTTCAACATAATGTTTTTTGTTGTAATATTAATTCAGTAACATTTATTCATGTTACTGAATTAATCTGCAGCCTATTCTTCTCTACTGCTATGATATTATATTGTATAAATATACCACAAGTTTGTCACCCATTTTCTATCTATGGATATTTGGGTCATTTTCAGTTTTGGATATTATGAAGAAAGTTGTTACGAAAATTCCTCTACAAGTCTTTTTGAAATTATATACACATTTCTCTTAGGTAGAAAGTTAGGAGAGAAATTTTCAAGTCATAATAGGCATAGGTTTAATTTCATTAAAAACTCCCAGTTTTCAAACTGGTTTTACATTCCAACCAGCAGTGTTTGAGTCACAGATGCTTCACAACTTCCCTTACTAGGGCACACACACAAACTTGGTATAGTGAGTCTGATGGGTGTACAATGGTATCTTCCTGTAGTTTTAATTTTAATTTCTCTGATGTGAGGATATGAAGCAGTGTTTTTCTCATATGCTTACTGGCCATTTGAATATCATCTTTTATGTAAAGCCTGTTCACGTCTTTTATCCATTTTTATATTTGATTGTCTTTTTCTTACTTATCTGAAAGAATTCTTTATAGCTAATTCTTCTGGCTATGAGCCCTTTGTTAGACATACGCATTTGTGAATATTTCTTCCAGGTTCCCCCAAGTCTGTAGCTAGGCTTTTCATTTCACTATGGTGTCTCTTGAGGAGATTCTAGATCTCTGAAAGTCTAGCTCCTTCTTGAATCAGTTTAAATGTAACCTCAAAAGGTTCCTTCCTCTCCATTCTGTAACCCACATTGCCTTGTTTAATTATCTTCAAGACACTTATTTCTGAAATTCATTTGGATACTTATTTGTCTACTGCTTGTATCTTCCCCACCCTCCCTCTTACCCTCATCCATACTCCCAAATATAATGTGAGAATAGGAATGTTGTCTTGTTCATGTTGCGTAATTATTTTTATACAATGTTGGATTCAATATGCCAATATTTAATTGACAATTTTTGAGTTTAAGTTCACAAAAGATACTAGTTCAGGCCAGGCACGGTGGCTCATGCCTGTAATCCCAGCACTTTGGGAGGCCAAGGCGGGTGGATCACCTGAGGTCAGGAGTTCCAGACCATCCTGACTAACATGGTGAAACCCTCTCTCTACTAAAAATACAAAAAATTAGCCGGGCATGGTGGCACATGCCTGTAGTCCAGCAGGAGGCCGAGGCAGGAGAATCACTTGAACCCAGGAGGTGAAAGTTGCAGTGAATGGAGATCTGCCATTGCATTCCAGCCTGGGTGATAAACCAAGACTGCGTCTCAAAAAAAAAAAAAAAAAAAAAGGAGATACTAGTTCATAGTTTTCCTTTTCTTGTACTGTCTTTATCTGGTTTGAGTATTGGGGGTAATATTGGCCTCATAAATAGCTTAAAAATAGTCCTTCCATTTCCATTTTCCAGAAAAGATTATTTAATGTCAGTGTTAATTCTCTTTAAATGTTTGGTAGACTTCTAGAGGTCTGGTTATTTCTTTCTGGTGTGCTTTTAAATTACTAATTTAATTTACTTAATGTTGATAAAAACTATTTGGGTTGCTTACTTCACCTTGGTTCAGTTCTGGCAGTTTTTAGCTTTTGAGAAACAAGTCCATTTCCTCTAAATTCTCAAATTTATGAGCAAAAAATTATATTTCTTTTCTTTTTAGATGGGGTCTTGCTCTGTCACCCAGGCTGGAATCCAGTGACACAATCATGGCTCACTGCAACCTCCACCTCCTGGGTTCAAGCGATTCTCCTGTTTCAGCCTCTTGCGTAGCTGGGACTACTCAGGTGCACACCACACCTGACTAATCTAAAAATTTTTTTTTCTTTTTTGTATAGACAGAGTCTCACTGTGTTGCCTAAGCTGGTCTCAAATTCCTGGGCTCAAACAATCCTCTTGCTTTGGCCTCCCAAAGTGTTGGGATTACAGGAGTGAACCACCACACCCAGCTTACCATTTCTTTATCATATTTTTATTGGCTACTGGATCTGTAGTAAATTAATTACTTTCCTGATTACAGCTAGAACTTGTACTTTACATTCCGGATATTAGTAATTTGTGCCTTCTGTCTTTTCATTTTTATCAATCTTACTAGAAGTTTATCAACAGTTTTTTCTGATGGCTGCCTTTTTGTTTCATTAATTTTCTCTGTTTTCAATTTAATTGACACCACTTCTTATTTTCATTATTTGTCTCTTTTTGTTTGCTTTGGACTTAATCTGCTTTTCTTTTTCCAGTTTCTTAAAATTAAGTGACATGATAACTTTCCTTGCATCTCAGGTAAGCATTTAGTAAGATAAATTTCCCTCTCAGAACTTCTTTAGTTGCAATCCACATATTTTGGCATGTTGTGTTTACTTAATACATATAGTTGCATGTATTTTAATTTCCTTTGATGATTCTTCTTTAACCCATGGATCCTTTAGAAATGTGTTGTTTAATTTTCAAGTGTTTAGAGATTTTTCCTGATGTCTGTTACTGATTTTTAGTTTGAATTCATTATGGTCAGATAAATAGTCTGTATGACTTCAGTTTCTATAAATTTATTGAGATTTGTTTTATGGCCCAGGATATGGTCTTAGTAAATATTCCGTGGGCATCTGAAACAAAATATGTATTCTGCTGTTATGTGGCATGTTATATATCTGTCAATTACATCCTGATGGCTGATTATGTTGCTCAGATTTCCTATAACTTTGTTGATTTTCTGTCAAATAGTTCTATTAGTTGCCGAGAGCAAAGTGTTGAAATAGGCATAATTGTGGATTTGCAGATTTCTCTTTTCAGTTTTATCAGTTTTTACTTCATGTTTTTCTCAGTTCAGTTGATAGATATATACATATTTATGTCTTTCTGGTAAATTAATCCTTTAATCATTATTATTATTAGAGACTGAATCTCATTCTGTTGCCGGGCTGGAGTGCAGTGGCGCAATCTCAGCTCACTGCAACCTCCGCCTCCTGGGTTCAAGCAATTTTCCTGCTTCAACCTTCTAAGTAGCTGGGTCTACAGGGACACACCACACGCCCAGGTAATTTTTGTATTTTTAGTAAAGACGGGGTTTCACCATGTTGGGCAGGATGGTCTCCATCTCTTGACCTCGTGATCGGCCTGCCTTGACTTCCCCAAAGTGCTGGGATTACAGGCGTGAGCCACCATGCCTGGCCTCTTTAATCATTATTAATGTACCTCTTTGTAGTAATTTATTTTGTGCTTTTTTTTCTTTTCTTTTTTTTTTAAGACGGAATGTCACTCTGTCACCCATGCTGGATTGCAGTGGCATGATCTCAGCTCACTGCAACCTCTGCCTCCCAGGATCAAGAGATTCTCCTGTCTTAGCCTCCTGAGTAGCTGGGATTATAGGTGCGCCCCACCACACCTGGCTAATTTTTGTATTTTTAGTAGAGATGGGGTTTCACCATGTTGTCCAGGCTGGTCACAAACTCCTGACCTCAGGTGATCTGCCTGTCTCGGCCTCCCAAAGTGCTGGGATTACATGTGTTAAGACACTGTGCCTGGCCTATTTTGCTTTTAAGTCAACTTTATCTGGTATGAATACAGCCACACGTGCTTTTTAAAATTAATGTTTACATGGTATATATTTTCTATACTTTTACTTTGAAGCTATACATTTCATTAGTGTCTTATAAACAGCATATAGTTGAGTGTGCTTTTTATACAGTCTGCCAATATTTGCCTTTTAACTGGCTTATTTAGACAACATATATTTAAAGTAATTATTGATATATGTTAGGGCTTAAGTGTGTCAATTTGCTATTTGTTTTCTGTTTGCTTCCTCTGTATTTCATTTCTCTGTTTCTCTCATCTTGCCTTTCTGTGGGTTACTTGAACCATTTTAGAATGCTATCTCAATTAACTTACAGAGTTTTAAAATGTGTCATTTTGTATATTTTTCTTAGTGGTTGCTTTGGGTTTTTCAATATATATGCCTGACTTGTCAATGCATTACCATTTCAAGTAAACCTCATATCCATGTAGGTCCACTTTGAAATATTATTTTGGGTATCAGAAGGTATTATCATTTTTGTTTCAGTTATCACATATGCTTTAGAAAAGTCATGAGGAAAATCATAATCAATTGTACTTATTGATACATTTGCTCTTTCTGTTGTTGTTTCTGTCTTCCTGATACTCTAAGATTCCTTCATTTAACGTTTCTCTTCTGTCTGAATGACCTTATACATCCAATAATTAAGGATAGTTTCCTAGGAACAAATTCTTTCAGTTTTCCTTTCTGAAGCAGGCTATTTGCTCCTCATTACTGAAGAATCATTTTGGTAGATACAAAATCCATGCTTAACATTTTTATTTCTTTCAGCACTTGAAAAATATTATGCCACTTTCTTCTGGGTTCCATGGCTTCAGAGGAGAAATCTGATGTTAACTGAATGGTATTCTTTCATAGGTAATATGTCATTTCTTTCTTGATTTCAACACTTTTCTCTTTGCCTTTAGTTTTCAGATGTTTCATTATTATGTACCTTGGTATCAGTTTCTCGGGGTTTATCCTATTTGGGGTTTGTTCAGGTTTTCACATCCATGGGTTTGTCTTTCGTAAAACTTGGGAAGTTTTTGTGCATATTTCTTTAAATGCTCTTTTAAACCTGCTCTCCCTCTTTTTTGAGACTCCAATGACACAAATATTGGATATTTTGTCATTTTTCCACAGATTCTTGGGGATATGCTCATCTTGTTTCAGTATATTTTCTATTTTCAGGTTGAGATGATAATATACATCCTCAAGTAAACTGATTCTATCCACTCCCTAGCAATGAGCCTATCCAGTGAGTATTTTTGTTGTTGTTCTATTTATCAGTTCTATAATTTCCATTTGATTCCTACTTAAAACTTCTATTTCTCTAATATTGTTTTCTATGTTCTTTTTTTTTCATTTATTTCAAGGGAATTTATAACTGAACCATATTCATGATAGTAATTTAAAGATCAGTGTCAGATAATTCTAACATTTGATTCATCTTGGTGCTGGTATCAGTTGATTATCTTTTCTCATTCATGTGATTCTCCTGAATCACAAATTATGGTATGACAGGTCATTTTCTTTCTTTCTTTTTTTTTTTTTTTTTTTGAGATGGAGTCTTGCTCTGTTGCCCAGGCTGGAGTGCCCTGGCATGATTTTGGCTCACTACAACCTTCACCTCCTGGGTTCAAGCAATTCTCCTGCCTCAGCCTCCTGAGTAGCTGGAATTACAGGCACTTACCATCACACTCGGCTAATTTTTGTATTTTAGAGAAATGGGCTTTCACCATGTTGGCCAGATTGTTCTCAAACTCCTACCTCGATTGATCTGCTCACCTTGGCCTCCCAAAATGCTGGGATTACAGATGTCAGCCACCAAACCTGGCCATGACAGGTAATTTTCTATTGTATCTTGGATATCTTGGTTTTTATGCTATGGAAGATCTACATCTTATTCAAATTTTTTATTTTAGTAGGCAATCACTCTGTTTAGATTCAGCATGCATATTCTTGCCTAAAGTTGTAGGTTGTGGTTTAAATGACAATCATGTTTTCAAAGTTTTTGCAGTATTGTCTTGGTCTTCTTAAGTAAATCTCTAGCAGCTGGCATCCCCAAGGATCCCTGCTGGTGCTACGTAAAGGAAAGAAGTGACTTCACCAGGCAAGGAAATGTGGTATGTATAGATGGTGAAAGGGAGTCTCTTGCCTGGGATGAAGAGTGTTTCCTGAGCCAGGCAATTTTTTTGTGATTGGCTCCCCTGCTTGGAGGGGTGGAGGAAAGGAAAGTGCTTCCTACCAAAGTGTTTGTTGTGGCAGAATTCCCCCTTATTGGTGCCATCTAGTCTCAAGATGTCTTTAGATGAGAGAGAAGAATCTTAAGTTAATAGGGCAAGGGGGCAGGTCTGGGAGGTAGAGTGGTATGTATAGCCTTCCCCGGCTGAATGCTTATCATAATGGAATTCTACTTGCAGGGACCTTCTGGCCATACAGTGTTTCTGATGGAGGAGGGGAGTCTCAGGCCAGGCATACAGGGAGAACACTTCAAGGACTGCAACCACTCATTGTGGTATCATCCTATTTGCTGGTACTCCCAGCTGTGAGTTGTCTCCAGGTAGGGGAGTGGATTTCTAGATCCATATAATTCCTTAAAAAAAATTTTTTTTTCTGTATAAATGGGGTCTTGCATCTTAAACTCCTGGCCTCAAATGATCCTTCCACCTCAGCCTCCCAAAGTGCTGGGATTACAGGCATGATCCACTGCACCTGGCCTTTTTCTTATCTCCCAAATTCAATTCTAGATAGTTCAAAGATGTAAATATAAAAATTAAGCTATAAAAATACTAGTATAACTGCCAGACATAAACTTGAAAAGATAATTCAACCATTGTAACAGTAGTCAGTGGCACAGTAGGGTAAAGAAAGTGTTTTATAGAATGTAATCTATGAATATGTTATACAAATATGTTAAGGTAAATGAAGTTCAATTCTCATACTAAGTTAGAAATAAAAAGCTTTATGCTTGGAGATCATGTTAACTTATCCCCTACAACTTCCTACTTTTTTTTTAATTTTTAATTTTTGCAATTTTTTAATTGAGATGAGGTTTCACCATGTTGCCTAGGCTATTCTTGAACTCCTGGGCTCAAACGATCCTCCCACCTTGGCCCCCGCAAAGTGCTAGAATTATAGGCATGAGCCACTGTTCTTTTCTCTGAGTTATGCTTCAATGCAATGTTTTTATTAAGGCCTCTATTAAAAACTGCCACATGGAAGAACTTCTACTTGTACTGTAAAATTATTGTTGAGGACACTATATAAAGTTTAATGCTCCCTAGAAAAAGGTTCCATATGATGAATTCCTTTCAGAATTTAGTAACAGGGAAAAGTCTGATTCTTTGTAACCTATCAGATAATACAACATATGCTGCTTGTGTCTCCCTTTTTTTGTCTTGGTGGCTAGAAGCTCAGAGCTAAATTTAAAAAAAAAAATTTTTTTTTAAATTTTTTTTTTCTTGAGACAGGGTCTCACTCTGTCATCCAGGCTGGAAGGCAGTGGCACAATCATGGCTCACTGCAGGCTTGACCTCCCCATGCTCAAGTGATCCTCCCACCTTGGCCTCCCAAGTAGCTGGGACTACAGGCATGCACCACTACCCCCAGCTAATTTTGTATTTTTTGTAGAGATGGGTTTTTACCATGTTGCCCAAGCTGGTCTCAAACTCCTGAACTCAAGTGATCCATCACCTTGTCCTCCCAAAGTGCTGGGATTATAGGTGTGCAGCACCACACCTGGCAATTTAATGTGTTAATGATTAGCAAATTTGCTTCCTCTTCCTCTTCAATATCTTAACTTTCTGTACCAATATTTTGTATTCATTTATGTAAAGACATCATAATTTAAATCCATTTGAAGGCAGGCATGATGTAAAAAAAATAACATTTAAGATCCCTTGTACCGCCAAGGGTTCTGGACTTGTCTTTCTTATTATATGTATAGGAGCTACTAATCCATTAGAGAATGAATACTATACTGGGCTTTGGGCTTAGAAAGGAACAATGAAATTGGACAGCTATGTGCAAAATTTAAGAAGGCAAAGTGAAGAAGCAAATATACTTTAGTGACCAGGGTCTCGCTGCAGCCACAATTACTACAACATTAATATCCACACTGCAGCTAGAAAAAAAATGGAGATTTAAGTTTTCTTATTTTTCAAAAGGACTGTACCTCCCAAAAAATACCTCCCTGCTGAGAAGTAAGTAGCAATTCAGAAAAAGTTGCCTGCATATTCTGCTTACTACATTTCCTTATTTCCCTATGGAATTGATGACATCTTAGACATCTACAGTCTGGCCATACATAACAAATTTTGACAGGAAGATGCTGTGAGGAATTGAATTTGAGTCATCACAATTGCCAAAAGAAGAAAACTCCAGTTATAAACATCTAAACAGTCATTTTTTCTACCCTGAATAGTAATTTTCAATGACACAAATTATCTTATATGGATATTTCTTACATAAAACTAAAAATCGTAAGCTATATCCTTACCCCAGAAAAATGCATAATTACAAAAAATATACTCTCAGTAAAAGTTTATAATTAACATCACTGTTAATTAAAATGAAAAAATTCACTTAAGATTTCTTTTCTTTTTTTGAGATGGAGTCTTACTCTGTTACCCATGCTGTAGTGCAGTGGTGCGATCTCAGCTCACTGCAACCTCTGTCTCCTGGATTCAAGTGATTCTTCTTCAGCCTCCCGAGTAGCTGGGACCACAAGCATACACCACCATGCCCAGCTAATTGTTGTATTTTTAGCAGAGATGAAGTTTCACAATATTGGCCAGGCTGGTCTTGAACTCCTGACCTCATGATCTGCCTGTCTTGGACTCCCAACATGCTGGGATTACAGGTGTGAGCCACCGTGCCTGGCCTTAACATTTCTTAATTATCTCTTATAAAGGGTTGTCACATATACTTAGATTTTACCTCTTTCAATATCATCTATTGGAGATGCTGGGGACATCTTATCTTCAGATGGAGAATGTTTTACAAGATTGGGAGTCCTGGCTGAATTCCACATTTGTTGTTGCTGTTGTTCTTTGCGATACTGAATTTTACTGCTTCCTTCAACTCTGCAATTAAGAATATGAAATATTAAAACAGGTATGACAGCAATGTAACAAAAATTTCAACTTACAAAGTTACTAAAATTGACCACTTATTCTTTTCCTAAACATCTTTAGAATAATATTCCAGAATTAAAACATTAATTTAGTTCATCATTTAACAAGTATTTGTCAGGTTCTATTTCTGTGATACACATGTCCATTGAGGGATACAAATAAAAACAAAAACAAAACCCGTGCCAGGCTTGGTGGCTCATGCCTGTTATCCTAGCATGTTGGAAGGCTGAAGTAGGAGGATTACTTGACCCCAGGAATTCAAGACCAGTCTGGTCAATACAGTGAGACCCTGTCTGTACAAAAAAATAAAAATAAAAATATTAGCTGGGCATAATGATGCACACCTGTAATCCCAGCTACTTAGGAGGTTGTGGGAAGATCATTTGAGCCCAGGAGTTTGAAGCTGTAGTAAGCTATGATTGCACCACTGTACTCCAGCCTGGGTGACAGAGTGAGACCCTGTCTCAAAAAACAAAAACAAAAATCCAGGCTGGTACAGTAGCTCATGCCTGTAATCCCAGCACTTTGGGAGGCCGAGTAAGGAGAATGGCTTGAGGCAAGGAGTTCATAACCAACCTGGGCAATATAACAAGACCCTATCTCTATTTAAAAAATAAATAAAACAACAACTGGAAAAAAAAAAAGCCATTGCTTAAATTGAACAGATAAGGCATTCACAAATGACTAAAATAAAAGGAAAAACGTAAGTGTATAACAGGTACAATATATTCCCTAAGTTCTAAGATTATCATTTCTGTTAAAACCAAATCACTTCTACATTTTCCATTTGTAACTTAAGATAGGCATAATAAAGGAGATTCATATACTTTTCTCTCAACATCTTTAAGAAGAGTATATAACAAAAGTATGCTTGATTTTTGCCTCTCCCATTTCCAGTCACCAAATCCTATCAGTTCTTCCTTCAAAAAGTCTTTCGACCCTTATTTTTCTCTTCATTCCTGCTCTTAAAACTCCTGGTTTATACGTTTTTCTGATTCCTACATTGTTTTCATTTATTCAGTTTCTCTACTGAATTAATGTTTTAAAACAAACTATAAACATGCCAATCCCTGGTTAAAAAGACTTTCATATGTAACCACTACCAGCAAGATAATGTCCTAATTTCTTAGTTAATATTGATGGCATTAACCTCAACCAACAAAATTACAACCTTACCTCTAGCCCAATATCAACATCGCCCCCTACTTTCCAAAACATGTACACAGGTACAGAGATAAACCTCTGCTCTGTTCAAACAGGTCTTACTGGCCCTGAATAAGTCAGATATATTTCTGCCTTCAAACTTGGCTTACATTGTCGTCTCCTTTCTAATCAATTAAATTGGTATTTCACGAACTTTATTCTAGTATGAATCACAGCAGGGCATGAGTGGTAGAGGTGAGGGGATATTAAAAAATAGAGTTTCCCAGGATCCTTCCCTGATTTAAGGTTAGATTCAGGAATTAATTTTTAACAAGCACCCAAGGTAATTCTTATGATCCCAACCTCCTCTTAAGGTACATCAAAAATGCCTCCCTGAATGTTCCAATCTACCATTACTTCTCCTTTTCTTAATTCCTAGAGCAACTTTTGTCTATATTATTTGCATGGCTTTTAGAGCAAATGTCCTTATATTACACAGCAACTAATGTGTTACCTATTTCCAAAAAGGATTTGAGATGAGTATATTCTCCTATTGACTTTTTAAATGGAATAGTCTGTTTATCTGATTAAAATGCAGAAGTTTTGAGGTGTTTGCATAGCAAACTTTCCTTTTTCCAGTACTTTACACATTATAAGTATTCGATAAATTTTTACTAATGAAGATGAAATTATTTTAGAGAATGTATAACGGCTCCTTTCAATCCAGCTATATGGAAGTATCTACAACAGAATAAAAAGTATACCTATATCTATAGAAAACATTTAGAAGCAAAACAAGCTTTTATATATCACAGGGTGATGTGGTAAAAAGCTTTTGGCTTAGGATCTCCACCAAATTTAAACTTAGAAAAAGATTAAAACATTTTTGTACCACACAGAAATAAGCCCCTTGTATAATAATGTCACTTAATACAGTCAATTTTTCTTGACATTTCCTTAGAAATTTATGTTTATAATATAATTTATTTCATTAAACCACATACCTTGTTTTTTTTACAGTGATGTTGCTGCTGAGTTTTTCTAGTCGACATTCTCCAGTATCATGGTTAATAATCAAAATGCATTCTTTTAAGTAAGGTTTTTTTGAACCTTTGAAAACAGTTACTGGTGGAGTTGAACCCTGTTTAAAAAGTTAATTATTATTACTGAAAATTTACCATAGGAATTCAGTTGGGAGGGCCTTTGAAATCTGATACTGTGTTTCTCCTTCTATGCTATACTTCAAGTCACCTATAAAGGACCTAAATTTACTACCCTGGATCCAAAAAGAGTGTAGTAAAAAATACAGCTGAAGATAGGCTGAAATCTCAAAGCTGCTATCATTGAGGAAAGGGAAGAGAGGAGGTACACACCTTGGGCCAGTAAAGATTTGTTTCACTGACCTATAATGAGCAATTGAGATTCAATTCGAATATAACCAAACCAATATGTTTTATAAGGAAACAGAGCATTGAATCATATTTTCTATTCCTCTTCTTCTTTTTTTCTTTTTTCTTTCTTTTTTTGAGACAGTCTCACTCCGTTGCCCAGGCTGGAATGCAGTGTCACAATCTCAGCTCACTACAACCTCCACTTCCCAGGTTCAAGTGATTCTCCTGCCTCAGCCTCCAGAGTAGCTGGGACTACAGCTGTGGACCACCACGCCCAGATAAAATTTTGTATTTTTAGAAGAGACGGGGTTTTACCACGTTGGTCAGGCTGGTCTCAAACTCTTGACCTCAAGTGATCACCCACCTCAGTCTCCCAAAGTGTTGTGATTACAGGTGTGAGCCACCACATCCGCCCTCCTCCTCTTCTTTCTTATTGCTTTGTTAAGTTTAATTTTTTAAAATCTGGCATTTTCTTAACGTAGCATCTCCCTATGCAGATTAAGCAATACCTCTTATACTAAACCCACTAATTAATTTTAGCATAATTAAAAGTGAGATAAGCAGACATTATGTGCTTAATGAGGTAATATGAAAGTACACAGCACCATCCATAAAATCCTCTTGCCAAAAACCCCAAAGAATTTAATTCTTATCAAACCCCAAAGAATATATAGTCCAGCCTGCCCTTAGAAATATAACTATCAGTTTATAGAAAATAGGAGGAATATAGGAACAAGTTAAATATATCCAGATGGAAGTAATTTGAAGTCCAGAATGTAGATATATTCTCTAGGACAGGTAAAACAGTTTTTCCAACAAACCAATGGTATGAAAAAGGGAAGAGAGCCAAGTGCAGGTACTGGAATACTTATGGAGGATGCAGGGTGCTGAAGCAGGAGGACAGCTTGAAGCCAGGAGTTCCAGGCTTCAGTGTGTCATAATCACACCTATGAATAGCCACTGCACTCCAACCTGGGCAACACAGTGAGTCCCTGTTTCTAAAAAAAAAAAAAAAAAAAAAACTAGAAAAGGTGTGGAAAGGAAAAGAAGCAACTTTTAAAGAATAAAAGAGACAAGAATATAATATTCAAATGCAACATAGAAATCTTATTTGGATTCTAGTTAGGATATTTTACAGACAAATGTCTGTAAAAACACATTTTTGAGATCATCAAGAAATTGTGACTACGGACCAAGTATTATTATTAATTATGTTATTTGTGACAATAGCATGGTGCTTAGAGAAAGGCAGAAATGTCCTTATCAGTTAGAGATACATAAATAAGCATTTATGAAATGGCACATTTTCTGGAATTTGCTACAAAATATGCTAGGGAAAAAAGTGGTAAGAGAATAGATTAGAAAAAAAAGCAAAACATTGATAATTGTTGAAGCTCACTGATGGGTACATGTTGTTCATCATACTATTCTTGTTGGCATAAAAGAAACCTAGATCATTACAAGTAAACTACATCTACTTACATATCGTCCCTTATCTTCGGTCCTTGCCCTATCAAACCTGAAGGAATTTTATGTTTGTCATTCTTTTGCCTTATTCCACATATCTGTATTTCTAAACAATTATTTATGCATGTTTGTTTTCGAAGTTTATAAAAGTACATTAAATTTTTTATGGATTTATCATAATAATTTTGTCAAATATTACAAAAGTAATAATAGTACTATTAGATCAGGTTAGAAAAGGATGACTTTTAAAAAGACTAAAGGGCCTATGTTAAAGTTAATCACTAGAGATTTACTAAAAGACCACTAGGAGGAGTATGAGATAAATTTGGTAATTGAAAATGCCGTAAAAGATGGGTAGGTTAGAGATTTCAGAAGGTACAGAGAGAAAACTATAAACGTAAACTAAAGGAACAGTTTTTTGTGAGGGTTTTTTTTTTTTTTTTTACCCCTCTCCGAAAGACTAAAGTAATCTACAGAAATTCAAGAATATACAACGCATAGATGAAGACATGTCTGGGCTAGCTCTAAAATGGTTACATGTAGAGCACTTACTTGAAGCCCTGGTAAGCTAAAGAGTCAGGAGCATGATCATAAGAAAACAAAGTAGGTCTACTTGGCTGGTTAAGTACATTTTTCAGATGTGTTGACTGAAACAAGTAAGATTCCCCACAATAGTTACCTAAGGACTCCAAATTATAGTTGAGAGATTCGTGTAATATATTCTTCTTAATGATATCTGTAGTTTTACTTAGAATGGAATACATCTAAAAATTACAATGTATTATTGTTCTCTGAGCTCCTGAAAATAGGAACTAATCATTACTTTTTAAAAAGTGCTCTCAGCACCTGAAGAAGTGCTAAAACCTTTATAAATATGCAATAAATGTTAAATATGAACAATATAGACAATTTCTGGTCATAAGTAACAAATTAAACAAATTTCTCATAATCTCTACACCAGCCTTCTACATTTTGAACAAATTTTATAAATGTAAACTTTCTCCCTTATTAAATTGAGCACCATTCCTAACTTTTAAGCTTGAGTTTCTGTCCATTCCCTTATTAAATACCCCAAGAAAGGAAACTATTAAAGTACCAGATAATACTAAGCATATGAACTATCATTACCTCGAAATAACTATTGAATACCTCCTATCAGCTCCATGTTCACTGTAATTATCCACCGTCAATTGTCATTTACCTAGATTATTGTTATTCTCCTTCCTACTCTCTCTCCAATTTTGTTCCCCATTCTGTAGGCAGGCAAATCTAAGCTTATTGTTCCCATGCTAAAAATCTTTCTGCACTTAAAAAACTGTGTGTTCAGGATAAAAGCCATATTTCATAAACCTGCACATAGGGTCCTCCATGATCTTCTTATCTACTCTCCAACTTTCTCCATCTGCCACTGTTTACAAACCACACAGAATTGCTTATAATTGGTTTGCATGAATGACTGACTTAGGATGGTCAACCAAAAGACAAAACTGTAAAATAAAATATAAAATAAATGAGTGGGCCACGTGTGGTGACTCATGCATGTAATCCCACCATTTTGTATGGCTAAGGTGGAGGATCACTTGAACCCAGGAGTTTCAGACTAGCATTGGCAACACAGGGTCACTACCAAAAATTTAAAAATTAGCTGGGTGTGGTGGTGCACATTTGTAGTACTAGCTGCTTGGAAGGCTGAGGCAGGAGGATTGCTTGAGCCCAGGAGTTTGAGGCTGCAGTGCGCTATAATTGTGCCACTTCACTCCAGCCTGAGTGAGAGAATGAAATCTTACCTATAAAAAATAAATAAAATAAAATAAGTGAGTGCATATGTTATTTGAGCAAATGAAAGTACTCAGAACCAACACTTCAACATAGGGGAATGCAGAGAAAATAGTAGTGATAAAAGAAATCTGGCTATTTATATATACTTAACTTTAAATGGATAAGAATAGACTTAACTTTAAATGGATAAGAATAGAGCGCGGTGGCTCACGCCTATAATCCCAGCACTTTGGGAGACATCACCTGAGTTCAGGAGTTTGAGACTAGCCTAGTCATAATGGCAAACCCCCATCTCTACTAAAAATGCAAAAAATTAGCCGGGTTTGGTGGTGGGCACCTGTAATCCAGCTACTTGGGGGGCTGAGGCAGGAGAACTGCTTGAACCCAGGAGGTGGAGGTTGCAGTGAGTCAAGATTACATCACTGCACTCCAGCCTGGGTGACAGAGCAAGACTCTGTCTCAAAAAATAAAAATAATAATTTAAAAAATGGATACAACTAGACTGTCTGAGAATGATAATGTAAGAGCTAAATAAGTATTCTTGACATGAAGATATTCTGCAATGTAATACAATATCTTGGCAAAAACTTAGGAAAGGACGAGGAAATGTCTTATTATTAAGGGATAATAAATGTATTATAAAAATCTCACTTGATGGAGGTAAGGAAATAATGGAGGAGCTCAGTTTTCATATAAGAAAATAAAATCATATGCCTCATTATGAACACCAGAAAAGGAAAATAATCAATAATGGAATGGAAAAGTATACTAGGACTCCAGAGTAATGAGTTAAAAAAAAAAAAAAGACAAAAGGAAAAAAAAAAGCAAGGTTGGTAAAACTAATAAAGAATATAAAAGAAACAACAAATATTTAAAAATTAATAAACTAGAAAATAAAAGAAATACAAATCAAGTATATCAATTTTGAACTAAATGTAAATAGACTGAAAAGACAGTATTCTCCCAATAAAAACAGAAAGTGTCAAACTGGGTTTAAAAATAAAACAGTATTATTATATTAATGAAAAATATACTTCATACCAAATGCCAGCTAAATAAAAGAAAGACACACTAAGATTCTATGAATACACAATTGAAAGAAAGTAAAGGTAGTTATATAAATGTCAGCTAAATAAAAGGAAGAGACTAAGATTCTATGATCACACAAAAGAAAGAAAGTTGGATATATATATGTATATATATATCCAACACAAAGAAGTAGACACTTAAGCTTAAAAACACAAAATAGGACAAAATTTTATTTTGTAATAATCAAAGATATACTTCATTAAAAAATATGACTGTAAAAGAATGTTAAAATAGGGCTCTGATCCTAAAATCAGATGAGGTCCCAAGAATGTAGTGGACTATTTTCCTGTTATCAGCTAAGTAAACCCATTGGAGAGAACCAGACAAGGTTCATCTGGGAAAGGATTTTTGTCAAAGAGAGTCATCTGGAGTGGCCCTCATACATATAAGAGCCTCATAGGTGTAGGATTTGAGG